GCAAGGTCCAACTAATGCACGGAGAAAAATATTTAAAATAAGGCGACTTACAGATATTATATTATTATTTTATAGGACATCAAATAATGTAAAAAATATAAAATATTTGAAATAATTTAAATTTAAATAAATTAAAATATCACTAAAAAATTCTAATTAATTTGGATTCCTTGGAGGATTGTATTTAAAAACAGGATCTTCGAAAGCTTTAAAGAGCGCTTTTAAAATTCTTAATTCCTAAAATATATTTCATTTATACAGCTAATAATTTCTCCTTGTGGAGGACACAACAATCAAAACTGAATTGGAAATGGAAGCAGCGACTTCATCACTTGTTTCCTCTCGCTCTCCTGTTGCATAAATATAAATAATCCCGTGGGGCATTCAACAGTCTGAAATCGGAGAAGTTGGCGGAGAATCGGAGTCTGAATCTGGCATCGGATGTCGGGCTGTACTTATAGCAGTGGTCCACATCCAAATCCGAATCTTGGAGGTGTGTCCCATTGTGCTGGCCGCGTTTCCGTGGCAGCCACGAATTTGAAACCTATCTGGAGGATTTGATTTTGCACGTGCAGGTCTGGGAACCTCGATCCTCTCTGATCCTGGCTGTCAGAAACCCGACAAAAGTTGCTCAACTTTCTGCCTGCATCTTCTCAACCGACTTGCGCAATTTTTCCTCTTCTCGAAAGACATTCGAGCACTTTAATTTCATGTTTTCGGATTGTTCGCCTGATTTCTCAAGATCAGATTGCTTATCTGTGTGTCCCCTCTTCGTTCGCCTGATTCAATTTGCCGACCGTGTATGTAATTATTGCGCTTTTCCTAGGCCGTTTTGTGTCCTCTTAAGGGTCTAATAGCCCACTTCCTGCTCTTCAGGACCGAGAATTTGGGGTTCCATTTGCACTTCAGTTTGACGTGATTTGCGAGTCGCTTCCTGTGGATCTCGTTGCCGGGAAAAAAGGATATTCAGAGTTATCTCCGTCGTCGCTCCCCTGTCTGTTTGCACTTTTCAGTTTCGGGGTTTGACATGCTTTTTGCTTTTATGAACTTTGCCGGAAGTTGTCGTCGTTAAAGGATTCCATTTCCGCACTTTCTGGGTGCATTTGCATATTATGAGCGCCAAAAGACGTTTGATTGTGTTGTCTTCTTGGCGCCAAAAAGGATAATTGCTAGTTGTCATTCAAGGATTCGGTTACATTTTGGGAAAGAGTTAAGCCCGCCAAAAAATGGGTCTCATTTTATTTGAAGCTGTTTTCTTTAAAGTCTTAAAATTTTTTTAAAATATAGAAAATGTCCAATTATTTAAATTTTATTTTATTTTATTTCCAAATTTTATTCAAATTTACCTAAATAACTCAAAGTCTGAATCAATCTACCACCTGCCATATTCTGATTTAAAAATAATCCTGATCCTAGGATTTATAAATCCTTAGAGAACTTTAATCTAATCATGGGCACCAGTGGTTTGAAGGACTTTAGGAGATTTTTGAGGGAGTATCGGGAATTAAAGGAGGCCAGTATTTTTCCAAGATGAAAAATGTAGCATCCATCGATTCCAGATGATCACTACTCCCGCAGATATGTGTAGAACACGACCGACATATTCGGTGCACCAGATAGCGACAGGCCATAAAAGCATAAAACTGGAACAAAACACTCACCTAATGACATTTCGGGTCTTTCCCATCAAAAGTCTGGCGCGATTCATAATGACCAAAGCGCTGAGGGTCAGAGGTAGAATATCTAGGGGAAATAACCATGTACAAAATGTTTAGGATCGGTCATCCCTGAACGAAATTTAGCTGCTCAATGAATTTCGGAGCGTCGGCGACGGCAACTTTTGGGCCATAAAATCGAACAGCGGGAATTTTCCACCTCCAGCATGCAAATGAAGTGAATTTCCCAAATATTTAACCCTTTCTTTCGAAGTGCCATTAGCCGTGTGGCGTCTTAACCCTTTTTCTTTCACAAAAACGCAGCGAAAGTGGCATAAAAATCGAAGCCAGCCCAAACAGTAGCTACCTGCATTCTTCGAAGACAAAAAGGTGCTAACTCGTCATTAAGATCTCTAATCTCTACCTAAATCGCAGCCGTAACCCCTAATAAAAACCCTTTCGCTTTTGCATCCTCAAAGAACTTTGCTAAAAAGTCGCAAATTTTCCGGGAAATTTTTTATTCATTTTTATTCATCCGACGACCTTGAATGGTTATGGGTTGCCTACCTGTGGTGCAGGCTGTATATAGTGCCATATTCTGACCTGCCAATGACTGCTGTTTCAATTCTTGTGGTGGATTTAGCGCTAATCCCCCGGATTAGCGACTCGCCGGCGTCCCGAGTTCATTAAGTAAGGGAGCAGATAGTCGGTCTCAATGAAAAGGAAAGGGGAAATTACTACATCACTCGAACTTCCTAAAGTCGTATATTCCGCAGATCGAACTAGATGAATGGCCAAGTTTTTATTGTCACAATCTGGAGTAAATGTTGTGTTTTGTAGAACAATTTGTTACAAACAGTGTATGTCTATTTTTTCTGTTGTCAACTGTATGAAAGATCTGTGACCATCAAAAATGTATCGAAATTTTTTCAGGAATTGTTAAAATTTTCGTTAAATTATGAACTTACAAATTCTAAAATATTAGACAAAACGTGGGAAGATCCGACAGATGCAGCCTCCTCATCTGCATATTCATGAGTTCCCACAATTAAGTTTGCCCCGCAACTCGATGAATGGTCAAGGGAATGTCAAAAAATTGATATGTCATCGTCATCTGGTTTAGTAGAGCATCCTCCCCCTTCGAAAGTCCTAAAGGCTAATGATTGGAATAGCAGCACACGCAAGCGAATTCCCATGCAGCCCACCTGAGTTCCAATTAACCACCCCCTACAAAAGCAGCATCATCACCGCGAGGGGTTGGCCAGTCCAATTAGAACTCATACCCTAATGCAACAACCCCCGGCGACTGTTGATATCATGTCAAGCATTTTATTGATCAAGTTACGCATCCGTAATACGAATCGAAATATAATTGCTCCTTTCAAGTGTCTATCATATATCAAATGAATTGCATTTGCATCGCGGCATCCCTTCTGTGTATTTTGGAGTACTGTTCCCACGTTCGAGGTCCTCGTCCTCGTCCTCGGGATCAGGATCACATGGCCTCAGGCGTTGGTGCGTAATCGCACCAGACTTACAGGATCTTGCTTAACATTATTAAGTAGCAGGACCTCTGGGCACAATGTCTTTCTTTCGAATTCGCTGATCCCAAAGAAGGAGAAAAGCTTGATCTAGCAGCATCCCGATCAGCGTGCCTTTTTCAGGCAGCAGCACTCCTACTCCTGCCAGCCGAAATCTTCTGTAATCTTCTTAAGCGGCAAGCTTAAGACGAGGCATCAGTGGGTCCTGCGGCAGGACTTGGCAGGACCGCGACAGATTAGAGGCACTGGCCACTTGAGTCCTGAATCCTGAATCCCGCAGGCTCTCAAAAGGCAACCCCTAAGCTGGCTTAGCCGAGGGAGCTACTGCCCTCCAGCAGGAATAGCTCCCAATTTAGTTTCGATTTCGTTTGATTTTGTAAAGCCATTTATTGAAAGCAACCTTAGTAAGTACAAAAACAATTAAATTAGAAGGAAGTGTCGTGAGCAAGAAAAATATAATTTTTATTAGTTAAAAAGGAATCGAGCAGGGTTATAGTTCCGTTACTACTTTTCTTATTCAGATATAAAGTGAAAAAAAAATAAACCTAACATAATATATAGGAACTTAGTGACTAGTTTCTCAAATTTTAATCATTTTTACAAAATTGTACTTTATTAATTTGATCCAAAAATACTTTTTCCAAACTTTGCTATATTCTTATTATAAAATATGAAACAACGTACAAGAAATATAAATCATTTTATAAGTTCCTATTAACTTGCCAATAAAAAAGCACTGGTACGTTAAATTACTCATTAAATAACTTGATGTTGTGAACGCTGATTTAAAATCTGCTCCCATAATACGTTTTCCAAACTTCGCCATATTCTTATTATAAAATATGAATCAATGTACAATAAATAGAAATAATATTAGATTTTTGCCAATACAAGATTTAAAAGGCTTACATTACGAAAAATCTAAAAAAAATGTAATTTAATTTTGTATTATATTAAATATTCATTTAAATTATTTCAATGTGTTTGCTTTAGAGAATCCAAATAAATTTAAGTCTACGAATGCATTTGAATACATTATTAAAGTATTTATAATATTATTGTAAAATGAAAGATGAAAATCATAAACTGGATTTCTGAAAATTAAATTCTGGGTTACATTTTAAGATCAATTTATTCAATTTGATATCCATCAGCGTCTTTTGATTCATTATTCCCCTAAAACATTGCATCATAAAAACCTAATTACTGAATGGAAAACAATCAATAGTGCGCATTATTCAACCCCTGCTGCAATCGCCACTCGAAAAGGACTCGCTTTGGAGGACTAGAGGCGAACCCACAGGTACTTCACACAAATCACAAAGCGGCAATAATGGCAGCGCCATAAAATACTCGGCCATGGATATGGAAGGAAATGTGAGCGTTGTCTTCATTAACAACTGTCGCAGGACAGGCAGAGATTCTCTGCTCAGAGAGAGAGAGACAGGGTAGTAAAAGGACCTCTGGAGAGAGCAGGTAGCGAGTGCTGCGGAAAAAGGCAATAAAACCCAAAGAGTTGAGAATGAGCGACGGCTGCTGCGACGGTCCTTGCTCAATGAATTTTTCGCAATGGCAGCCTGCCTTCGCAGGATCGAAGGATTCTCTTTATGGGAGGTGAGTGAGAGAGAAAGAGCCGCGGAGAGAGAGCCATTAGAAGAGCAACCCAACCCAACCCTCGAAGCGACCAATGAAATTTGAGTTTCGCTACCTAAGGGTGATCGACTGCTCGATGAATGGATTTGGGCAGCGAGGACTATTAAAACGCCGCCGGTCCTCACAGCAGACAACACAACCCATCGTGATCTCAGCGAGTCCACATCGGAGTAACCGAGGATATATCGAATATATCCATCCAAAAATACCAAAACCACAAACGTTAAACAAAAATCATACGTAGACCCAAAAGACATTCCCTGCTTAGTGCCAAGTGCCAGAAGTGAATAAAAATTTGTGCAAAAGTTTCCAATAAAATCGCCAAAATTACGCCCCACATCAGTATGCAGTCGTCGGAGGGTTCGCCAGATATGATGGATCAGAAATACAACAGCGTGCGGCTTTCGCCAGCGGCATCAAGTAAGTAAAACTATAAAAAAAAATTACAACTTCAAAAGAAGCAGTTCCGCATGCCTTCTAAATGGAGCAGCTCTGCCCGCTCTCTGCCGCCACATGTAAAAACCCCTTACTTATACCTTTTTTCCCCCTTTCTTTTCATTCTCCAGGTCGCATTCTATACCATGTGCCCTGCAAAGTGTGCCGGGATCACAGTTCCGGTAAGCATTACGGCATCTATGCCTGCGATGGCTGTGCAGGATTCTTCAAGAGGAGTATTCGCCGGTCCCGCCAGTATGTGTGCAAGTCCCAGAAGCAGGGACTCTGTGTGGTGGACAAGACCCACAGGAATCAGTGTCGTGCCTGCCGCCTAAGGAAGTGCTTCGAGGTGGGCATGAACAAGGATGCCGTGCAGCACGAGCGGGGACCCAGGAACTCCACCCTGCGTCGCCACATGGCCATGTACAAGGATGCGATGATGGGTGCCGGTGAGATGCCCCAAATACCCGCTGAGATCCTGATGAACACGGCTGCTTTGACCGGTTTTCCGGGAGTGCCCATGCCCATGCCTGGTCTGCCCCAGAGACCCCATCATCCTGGTCACATGGCTGGCTTCCAACCTCCTCCGTCGGCGGCGGCTGTCTTGGATCTATCCGTTCCCCGAGTGCCGCATCATCATCATCAGGGACACCATGGCTTCTTCTCGCCCACTGCTGCTTATATGAATGCCCTGGCCACTAGGGCTCTGCCACCCACTCCTCCGCTGATGGCAGCCGAACATATCAAGGAAACCGCCGCCGAACATCTCTTCAAGAACGTCAACTGGATCAAGAGTGTGAGGGCTTTTACCGAGCTGCCCATGCCTGATCAGCTGCTGCTGCTGGAGGAATCCTGGAAGGAGTTCTTCATCCTGGCCATGGCCCAGTACCTCATGCCCATGAACTTTGCCCAGCTACTCTTCGTCTACGAGTCGGAAAATGCCAACCGGGAGATCATGGGCATGGTCACAAGGGAAGTGCATGCCTTCCAGGATGTCCTGAATCAACTGTGCCACCTGAACATCGATAGCACCGAATACGAGTGCCTGCGAGCCATTTCCCTGTTCCGCAAGTCACCGCCTTCGGCCAGTTCCACCGAGGATTTGGCCAATAGTTCCATCCTGACAGGAAGTGGCAGTCCGAACTCCTCGGCCTCCGCTGAATCCAAGGGTCTCTTGGAATCGGGCAAGGTGGCCTCGATGCACAATGATGCCAGGAGTGCGCTGCACAACTACATCCAGCGGACACATCCCTCGCAGCCTCTGCGGTTCCAAACCCTCCTGGGAGTCGTGCAACTGATGCACAAGGTCTCCAGCTTCACCATCGAGGAGCTCTTCTTCCGCAAGACCATTGGGGATATCACCATCGTACGACTCATCTCCGATATGTACAGTCAGCGCAAGATCTAAGCTATAGATCTCTGGATTATATAGAATAGCCGCCGCACTCGAAGTGCCTTCCAAGTGCTGGGAACTGTGATAATCTCGGAAGTAGCGCTTTGGATTGTATATTCAATCAGTGAAAAAAAGACAACGCTTACGCATCTCCAGGAGTCGGGGAGCCTTAACTCACCTCAATACCTTAACCTACCTTACTCGACTTTGCGATCTTAGCTAAAAGTCTAAGAGACCATCCAGATGTGTTTCAAATTGCATTCGCAAAAGTTTCAACTTTGCCTGTTAAATACGTAAATCGTAGCTTAGTTTTAAACATAATAGCTTTAAGTGCATATCATTAGCTTTAAGATTTTAAAAATTTTATTCAAAATAAACCTAAAGGTTTTCGAAATGAACATTTACTGGTCTTCTTTGGGGAAAAGCGGTTGGGACTAGCATGGATATGGAAAAAAAATCATTTTTCAGAACTTCCTTTTGGATTAAAGCAAGTTATATAAAATTTCCGAGGATTTACAAAGCAAACAACAAATTAGAAACTTGCAAAAAAAAATATTTTTGCGATAAATGTAATATTTAATGGAAATACTTTTTTTTGACATTCTTTTTTTTATCATTTTACAACTTTTTTTTTTACTTTTCACCATTTTTTTAAACATTGAAATATTAAATTTAACTTTATAAATATGTTTTCCTACATATGTTTTTTAATATATTTCTACATGTTCTCTAAATATTGTTGTGTATATAAAGTTGAAATTTATAAAGTTAAAGTAAGGAGTTAAGATATAGAAATTTCTCTGAGAAGTCCAAAATCTTCCAAAAAGTATCTCTAACACAAGAAAAGTATCTTAATTATTTACCCAACCTTTTGATTTATTTACAATTACCTTTCGCAGCCGAAAGTGTTATGCCAAACATGGAATCATGCGATTACACCCAGAATTATCATACTTTTTTATGGCCATTTCGTTGATGCTTTTCGTATCTTGCGAGACGTCAAAGACAAACCGCACAGACAGCCCAGTTAATCACAAATGAATTATGCAAATACGGGAACAAAGAAATATTAGATCGCAGAAGGAATCGTGAAAAAATTAGCATAGTTTTTCCGCATGAGCAGACCAAAGTCGGGATTTGTTTTTATTTTCGGGGAACCTTCGGAGGAAGGATTGCAATGGCCGCTCCAGTTTTGATATCTTTACTCTCCCGCCCCGAAAAATTCGAAAAGTTAAAAAGCAAAAATTCACTTTTGTGACTTTGGACTGTTGGAAACGGGGGAATCGGGGATCGTTCTCCTGGAAGGACAATTGAATCCTTTCACAATAGAGTTGGAAATGAGTTTTCGCTTGGCAAAGGCAACTGAACAAACAGTTGCCAAATTGTTCGAATTGCGTTGGCCAAAGTAAACAGAGATGAGCGTATTCCACTGACACACATCCATGAGCCGTGGCTATGAGGACGATGAGGATGTGCAAAAACCTACCCTAACCTATCCAAAGAGAACCCAATTCCAATCCAACCACGGCGCATAGAACATCATGCGGGGATTGGGATTGGGATTGGGCATTAAGCATGCTTCGATGGTGCTGCCATTTCGACTTTCGGAACCCGGGTTCCCTCGGTTTACTCGGATGCTGTTGAACCCGGGGTAACAAATTGTGATATTTCTATTTCCCCGCTCGCTGCTGTGTTGAGCCCTTTTAAGTCCTAATGGCCCTTTATTATCTGCCTTTAGACTTTTAATAGACTCAGGCACCAGGACAGCAACAGCAACACAGAGGAACAGCACCCAGGTCCTTTCGTCCTTTCGGAGGACAGGATATGTGTGTGTGCGCTGGCCTAATCCTCATCATTCTGTCATCAGTGACGTTTTTCTGCACATTGTCGGCCGCCCATTGTTTGGGTCTTAATTTGCAGTTCTCCCGTAGTAGTTTTTGCACTCTCGCCGGCGAGCAAAGGATTTTCACATTTTTTCACTTCTTGATTTCTATAATGTCCCTAAAAGAAAGAAGCCATCTTTGAGACGTTTTGGTCATCGAGTGTGATACTAACTCGGGGCATATTTTATTGGATTAACAAAGGTTATAAAGAAGATGTTAAAAACTTTAAGTGAGTGGTAATATATAATGTACCTTTTGTAGAAATTTAGCGACTAAAGAAAATATTTAAACATATTTAATTTAATAAAAAAATTTAAAAATTAATGTGTGAAAATATTAAATTAAATTAAAATTGAAAAATAAATTATAAATAAATATTTCCTAATATTATTGTGAATCTTTAATTTTTTTGATATTTTGTTTATTAAATACAATGAGTCAAGAATATTATTTGTAAATTTTGTAGGGTCAAGTTAAAATTAAAATTAATAAGAAAAGAAACAGGAAAGAAATGGGTACCTATTGTGACAAATATATGACCTAATTAAAATTTAGTAAAATTCGAATTAACGATACCTCAAATGAAAGTCAGCTATATCTTTTCCTTAGTCCCCAGTTTTAGCAAAGATTAAGTCAGCAGTCCCTTTAGAATTAATCTGAATTCGCCAAGGCTACCCCTCTAAGATTAGACTAAATTTAATCCATCTGCAACTGGAGACGAATTAAAATGGGACTTGGACTAACTTGTGCCTCACTTGAACTGCTTTAAATCCGCGAGCTTTGCCTGGTGAAAATGGGCTGGGAACTGGCTCATCTTGTTCGAGATCTCAAGTGGCTGACGATCTGCAAATTCCGGGGAAATTCGGAACAAGTAAGTAAGAATCTGTGGGATTTTGTATAACACGTTTAATTCATAGATTTTCGTTGATTAAGTAATCCCGCAAAAAGGGCTCAATGAAGGCGACCATCGACCGCCGGCCGATTAGCGCAGTTCGCGTAAGCGGTTTGTCCCGATTTTCTACCCTCGGGCAGGTGTGGGTTAACAGGTTACGGGTTTTGCAAGCTTAACCCACACAGCAGCAGCTCTCTCGCTTACTCTTTCGATATCCCTGTCTCACTCTGATCCTTATCCAGGCGCAATTACCTAGCGAAACAAAAATATGAGTATGCAAATAGATTTTAATGGGCAGGATTACCCTTTTGCTAAATGCCCAAATCCTGGCCAGGAGGTCCTGCGTCTCCTCCTCCAGCTCACCGCAGCTCCTTTGTTTTCAAATGTAATGAGAATGTCTGTAAGCCAAAATATTAAACATCCGTTTGAGCCGTTTGGTCTCGAACATAGAGTATATATGTATATGTACTGTAAATCCGGCTTCCGATTGTTCGATTTCCATCGTACCTGAAGTCAGGACCTCTCTCTTTCTCGCTCTCTCTTTCTACCATTTTCGTCCTGCGGCAAGCAAAAGTCAAAGCGGCGTTGTTTTTGTAAATTGAGTAGCTCGATTTATCGCCAGATCAATTTTCTATATCTGCCGCCCCGATAAGCGGGTATATAATTGTTTCTCTGGCTTATGCCCACTGCCGACTAAGCCTGGTCTTTGGTCTTTGGTTTTGGTTCAGGCCGTTGAGCCTTACTTAGTTCCCCTAAGTTCTGCTTAACTTACTTTAGTGGGCAAATGGCAACATTTTCGGCGGAAAATTCTACGGAATTCTTTGTATTTGCATACAGCTTCGTGGCGGCATTGTCTTTGACGCTTAGTCGCATAATTTGGCACACAAAACGGTCAAAGGGATAAAGAGGCAATGCACTGAGGGAAAATAAAATTATTTAAAATAGTTTGTTAAATTTATTTTGAATTAAAAATTTTATTTTATTGTACATATTTGTATGAAAAATTCTTGTCACGTAATATTTCAACTTCATTTTGTGCATTTTTGAACAATTGTTACATTTGTAAGATTGTTATGATTTCGTTAACTTATAGAGAATGTCGTCATTGCATCCAAACAATCGTAATAATTAGGTATTATAAGGGATAAATGGAAAATGTAAAATAACATAAAAATTAACATAAAAAGGTGTTTTTAGATTGTCATACATACTTCCTTAGAGAACACTGATTTCATATTTATGATTGCTCTGAGTATATAACATTAATACAAATATTTAATTCTACCACTTTGAGGACTCATAATGGGTAGATTTAAAATTTTATTTATACAAGATGTTACAAACCCTTTCATCATATAAAAAAGAATGATTTCTAAACCTCATTAGAACACATCACAAAAACCAGCTGCTTTTTCTTAGAAGGAAGGGGAATTCCTAGCAACTTTCTGGTGGCTGTCTTAGATCATCAGAGCTGATCAATGATCAGAACTATCCAAAGCGATTAGGACAAGGACATCGCGTAGCAGGATCATCGAAGCGTGGCCTCAGCCAAAGTACTTTTTGCACTGGTCCCTCCATTGTGTCTGCCCCTTTTTTATGTGCCCCTAAGTACTTGATGCCCGGAGTCTAAGTCCCTGGAAATCTGTGCACATCCTTTTGATTGTTGCCATCTGAAGAAGGGACAATGGCAGTGGTTTTGCGACGACGATGAGTGGACCTCCTGGAGGTGAGAAAAATATTAAGGGCAAATCCGCTGAGTCGCCGATTTGTTCCTACGAAACAATGTGCTCGAGAAAATCTCGAGAGCAACTTGCGTTTAACCTCAAGAAAGTAGCAATTGCCCGCATTATTTCGTTGATCGAAAGGGGGTCTTTTGTTCGTGGGACAGAGTTCACTGGAAATTGCTTTTACATCGAATATATATATCGACAGACTAACAAGTGTTATACGATCTGCGACAGTTTTTTTCTTTGATCGAAATAAGGGTCTGCGGTTCAAGGACTTGCAATCAAAAGCTGGACCACCGCGACTGCAACATCTTGTGTGTTCTGCTCGAAGATCCTAACTTAAATAGGGGTTCGTCCTCTGAGAAACTTTTACTGTAGCCGGAATTAACGGAGGATCTGTCTTCTGTTTTTTTTTGTTTTATCGGAAGTGGTGGAAGTGGAAATGGAAGCTGCATCTGCGGATGGTTTTTAATGCCTCCGGGGCGGAATCATTGCGCAGCCGGGTAATTGAATTTGTTGCCTTTTCATTTGCTGTTTTCTT